GCAATAACTAGGGCTTCCACTTCCCACCTCAAAAGGGACAATAAAAATGCTGTAAATGTTACAACTTGCTCAGATTATTTCTGTTTTGGAGGCAGTTTACTCAAGGGATTAAGAGCTCTGGAATCAGACTCTCGATTAGAATCCAGGTTCTACTACTTCCTAGTTGTGTGTCTTTTGGCAAACTACTTACTTTCCATTAGCCTCAATTTTCTTATCTGTAAAAGGGGGATAATAATACCAACCTTCCTGAGCAAATTCAGTGCTTAGCACACATTAAGAGCTCAATAAATGTCAGCTGATATTATCATCCTCTGTTTTTAGCTAAAATGAACAAAAGGAGGGGAGAAGGGGTCTGGGAGGCTACATCCCACTCTTCTACCAGGCTTGAGGATGAATCCTGGTTATAAAGTGAGTGGTAGCAACTATTTACTGGGGAAAAAAGTGAGCTTAGGTTCTGAGGACTGTTACAAAGAAAGAAAAGGTCAAAGAGATGGAGATGTTCGAGTAGAAAGGCCAGGGATGGGGTCTCCATGTTGGCTCATCCTTCAATAGTCCAAACAAACTCACCAGCTTTCTCCTAAATCTGCTCCTTCTCTGGAATTCCTTATCCTTCCCCCAAGCCATCCTTCTCCCAAGCTAGAAACCAAGGAGTCATCTTTTTCTTTCCTCTTCCTCCGCCTCCACCTCCACCTCCTTCATATCAAATCGATCACTGGAATTGGTTTAATTGAGATCCTCGATATTTCTGGTGTCTGCCCTCCTCCATTCCCACAGCCAACGCCTTACTTTGGACTCCGCTGCCTTGCTCCTAGATAGCGACAATCGCCTAATTTGTCTCCCGGCCTGCAGCCACTGTCTTCCAATCCATCTTCTACACCCTTCTTTCTCATCCCCTAAGGTCCCTCACAGGCCTCTTACAGTCTTATTGAGAAAGCTCAAACTCCTAAACATTTCTGAAGACCCTAGGAGACCTGGTGCCTGCTGGCCTGCAGCCACTGCCCCAGGCAAAGTCCTGCCTCCAGTCCCAGGACTTCTGGCTGCTTGCTGAGCTCCCCAGTCTCACAGCCAGTTCCAAGAGCCTTTCGCCTGGCCACTCAGCATAGGGACCACTTTCTCCTGCAAGTCTCCATTAAGACCCTGCCCCACCAGGGGTCGCTTCTTGTTTTCTTAAGGTCTTGTGCATACCTCCACAATAGCACTTAGCTAGCACCCTGTACTGTAACTATTGGATTCCTCCTATCTATCTGTATCTCTACCCTTCTCTCTCAGTTAAATTATAATTTCTTTAAGAAAAAGGACTGTCGGGGCCGGCCCGGTGGCGCAAGCGGTTAAGTGCGCGCGCTCCGCTGCGGGGGCCCAGGGTTCACCAGTTCGGATCCCAGGCGCACAGCGATGCATCACTTGTCAGGCCATGCTGTGGCGGTGTCCCATATAAAGTGGAGGAAGATGGGCATGGATGTTAGCTCAGGGCCAGTCTTCCTCAGCAGAAAGAGGAGGAATGGCAGATGTTAGCTCAGAGCTGATCTTCCTCACAAAAAAAAAAAGAGAGAGAGAGAAAAAGGACTGTCTTTCTCCTAACCAACCTAATGCATTGCTGGGGATACACAGCACCGTTTTAAAAAATGCTTGTTGAGTAAATAATTTTGGAGGGGCGTGATGAGAGTCAGCGCCAAAAAGACTATAAACTTGATCACATCACGAATGCATTCATGAAAAACAACACTTTTACAAAAAACTATGCAGATCAAGCATGTTAGTAGGATATTTATGTAGAAGCTGTGGGGAATTTACTGCCAGTTGTTAAGCAGCAAAATGTAGTAAAAAGAGCTTTTAGATCAGGAACCCTGGGTTTGAATTCCAACTCCGCAACTTCTAGCCAGTCACTATGGACAAGTTACTTAACCTAAATCTCAGTTGCCTCGCCTATAAAATAAGGAAAATTTAAGGACCTGCTTGATTGCACAGTTGTATCAAATGAGATAATGGTTGTAAAGTGGTTGGCACAGAGCAAGCTTCTAAGGCTGTTAATAAATGTTGGTCCCTTTCCACTTCAAGAACACTGCTAAAAAGTCCAAGGTCACATATTCTGCATTTGGGAAGGAAGACTTAACACTCTTCTAAAACCTTGACCACACCTGAATCCCAGCCAGCCATCTTGAAGATGAACTAGGTCATAAAGAAGATTTAGCAAAAAAAAAAAAGAAAAAATTATTTCAATGCAATCTCATCACCACAGCTGAAAAATAGTTTAAAATACCTGCCCTACTCACAGCATCATTTTAGTATATGCGAAACATGAGGAGGATACAGAATGAATGTAATATAAAAACATAATGATGCCTTGGAATGACGGTTCCTGAAGAGAATGAACTTAGTCATGGATCTGCTCTACAGAGCAATGGACTCACTGTAATGTGCTATCTAAATATTAACAGCAATGAAGCTAAAGAAGTAGTCTACTTAGAAAGCACAAGAGAAGAAAAGTACAAGAACTCAAGGTGATCTGAGAGGGACCAAAAAGTGCCCATAAAGTAAAATCTTCCAAAGCCCTAGTCTGGTTATACTAGCCTCTATTTTTCATGCACTGTATTCTCATACTTTTTTTTTTTTTTGGTGAGGAAGCTTGGCCCTGAGCTAACATCTGTGCCCATCTTCCTCTATTTTGTATATGGGACGCCGCCACAGCATGGCTTAATGAGTGGTGTGTAGCTCTGTGCCCGGGGTTCCAAACCTGCGACCCCCCGGGCCACCAAAGCAGAGTGTGCGAACTCAACCACCACTCCACCAGGCCAGACACATTTTCATTTTGTTAAAATATGAAATTCTGGGGGCCAGCCCAGTGGTGTGGCGGTTGAGTTCACACACTCCACTTCAGCAGCCCGGGGTTTGTAGGTTCGGATCCCGGTGTGGACCAACATATCACTTGTCAAGCCACTCTGTGGCGGCATCGCTATATAAAGTAGAGCAATATGGGCACAGATGTTAGCCCAGGGCCAATTTTCCTCAGCAAAAAGAGGAGGATTGGCATCGGATGTTAGCTCAGGGCTAATGTTCCTCATACACACACAAAAAATGAAACTCTGCCTTACCTAATGTCCTAATTTAGACTGAAAGATCACTGTCTTGCCTGTTTTCACCCTGACATGTATGTTTGAATTCTCAATAATATAAATGTATTCTTTTCTAACCAAATGAATGTCACCTACTGTATCTGTGACACAAGTTTCCACCAACAGTAACAATACAAAAGCAAAAGATTTGGAAGTGTCTCTGTTGAGAATCGCTTATCTAATCCCAGAATTAAAGAAAATGGATTTAAAAAAAAATTTGAGATTTTTCTCAAAAAATTATTTGTTCTAGGTCCTGCTCAGTGTAAAATTACCAGTTACTGAACTGTCCTTTTGTGTTCAGGCCAACCAATTTGTTGAACATAATTTTATATTGATCTTATATTAGTGAATTTAATTTTTCACATTTATTTTAACATTCTGTTGACCTTGAAAAATGTTTTTTAATCTTCTCCACAATATTTGCTCCTTAAATGGTCACAAAAAAGTTACACCTTCCCCAAGGACTGGGTAAAGTGAAGAGCGACAGTGCAGATCCTAGGACTACTAAAACAAACATAACCTCTTTGCCTACCCATCAGAATTACCCAAAGAAATTACCCATCAGAATTAATATTAGAGAAAAAAAGGGTGTTGGGGAAACACTTTTAAAAACTACATTTAAAAAAATGCCTCTAACGGGATCTCTTGATAGTTCCTACCTGAATGAAAGAGACTATTCAATAATTCTTCTAATTTAAGATTACATTCCTGATATATTTGAGAAAACAAAGTCAGTAACACAGAATGGGCAATCCTGACTTTCCAAACAGCCAAGTATCACAACCAACAAAATTATTTGCTTCCTATCCTACCTGACCCTTAACCTACTACTTGCATGCTCCATCCCTAGAGAATTTTAGTCCCTAAGTAAACATACTGACCACTCTGCAGCTAAAACTGAAGCATGGGAGTTGTACAGTTCAACCAACCTGATGGATGACTACTTTCATAATACTAGAAGGAAGTTTTATATGAACCGTGGAAGAAACGAGGAGGTAGGTTGAAGAGAGTGAGGCCAGCAGGGGTCCTGAACGGGAAGCTCCCAATTTGTAAAAAGGAAGGGAAAAGTCTGTAAAATCACAGGAAATTCCTTGTACCCTAATTGCCACTGCTTTTATGACAATCTTATTAAACAATCTTTAAAACATCAAGGGGATCTGTAAGACTCCTTTCACAAATGATAAGAGGGGGAGGGAGTTCACAAAGTCATTTGCTTCCTTTGCTTCCTGTTCAGTGTCTGCTATAGCCCAACACGAGTTTGAAAGGGATAAAAACTAGAAAAACACAAAATGAAAGAGAAGTACGCCAGAAGTCATTAGTGGTCTTTAAATTACTAGAATTTAACTGGAATTCACTAAGCTATTGAGAAGTACGCATTTTGTTAAATATCAAAGAATCTGTCCGTAGGCCACCCCCAAACACAAATGTATGTTTAATCAACTTATACAATGAAATGGCCACACATACTTGGGATTTCAAATACCTCCTTTAAAAACATCCACACATTCTGATTCCATCCAAAATTATTCTTTACATCTCTGCATTACGGCGCGCGCGCGCGCGCACACACACATACATCTAACTTGATGTAAATCTAGCCCTTCTTGCTTAATACCCTGAAGAAAAGAATCAACGCCTCAATATACTCTCCTCTTCTTCAGACCCTAAAAGAAGACTCGAAAAGAAGTGAATGGATTTCAGAATGAAGAAAGAAGGCCAGGGAATACAGGAAAATACAACCGGAGATCCTCTCAGGGACTCATTTTATTCTTGGAAAATGTCATCTCCACTCATTCCCCAAGCCCAAAGGCCAGGCACCACTGGCGCAATATCATCCCCGTCCAAAGCGCCGAAGAGTTGCCAACTAATGGTGTCCCCCCACCTCCTCACCTCATCAGCGCTCAGCTCCTCCATCGCTTTCCTCTTAATGGTGAAAGGCTTTAGGGAGAGATCCTTCTGCTCTTGAGACCAGGGCGGGAGGAGAGTGGAAGGTGTCTATCGGGTTGTCTGGTCCCCCGAATGGGGGAGGTTTCAGAATTGCATAGTCAGAGGTTAAAAAATAAGAACACGAGAGGCACTGAACTGCCTTGGCGTCGGTCACTCCACTCGCCCCAGAGGCTCCTACAGCTGCTTGAGCCCTGAGCAGCCTCCTCTGGCTGCCACTGCTGCTGCTACAGGGTTATCTTAAGGCGCCACTTACTACCCTCTGCTTCCCAGGTTACCCAGACTAGAGAGCTCGTTCACCAGCTCGTCTCGTGCCCCGAGCTTGCTGTGTCTTCGTGGTGGTAGCGCGGCAGCTGCGCTTCCTCCAGCAGATCCTGCTCTCCTTCCTACCCTTTGCCCCTGGCGGGAACTGTTCGACTGCAGAGTGGATGCCCCGAGGTAAGGCGACCCCAGAGCCGCCCAGGCAGAGCCCAGCTCTGAAGAGGGAAGCCCCTCCCCTCCCAAAGCAGGCCGGCCACGCCCCGCCTCCACGCCGGAGCCCGGGCAGGGGGGAGGGGCAGAACGGGACTCGCGATGCTCTGGCTGGAAGAGTAAATCCTCCTACCCCGCCACCCCTACTCGTACCCCCTCGCCCCACCAAGTATTATTCATCAAAACAACAGGGCGGCCATCTTTGAAAGGGATCACGTGACCCCGCCAGAGAGGCGGGGCTTCTGGCCCCAGGACGAAGCAGCCAATGGGCGCGGGCGTCGCGCCGCCGATTTCCTCTCGCCTGCGTCTCCTCCCGCCCCCGCCCCACCCCCTCCC